ATTACATTAGCTTTAATTTAAGATATATATAAAAGTGTCAGACCTTCCGGAACACTTTCAAAAGTTAAGTTGAAAAAGTTGTCATTTTAAATCCCCCCTTGTGGGCAGGTTAAGGGTTAAATTTATGAAAAAAATATACCAAACGAAAGGTAATGATATTACACATCTATATAAAAAATAATTATATTGATATGTTCATTTTTGAAAAAGTTATGGCAGTTTTAAGTAAAAAAAATTGAAAAAATTTCGAAATTTAGCGATTTTTAAATTTGTAATTTTTTTGGAGGTTTCCCCCATTTACGGGGAACGAGGGCATTTTTTTCAATTTTTGAGGGTAATGTCGTCGACTAGATACAATTTGTGATCTTTTGACGTATCATTGAAACAAATTGGTTCGGTGAGAGCTGAGAAAAAGTGGTAACAGACACAAAAAAAAAATAAAAAATAAACACATCTTAGTAAAACTAATACCTTCTCAGCTTCACTTCGAAGCTAAAACATATAGTAAAACCAATACCTTCTCAGCTTTGCATCGAAGCTAAAAAGTATGATTTTTAAAACAAAAAAAAACAAAAAAGCATTCTAATTTTATTCATAATTTAGTGATTACTAATATTTACATAATCTATATTTACAGTATGCCTTTAGCTGCAGGATTATTCAATAGAGAAGTATACTTAGAAGCAATCAAAAGAAGAGCTGCTAGTATGAATAAACGCATTGGAACTTCTACTGTGTGTACTATACAATAAATAAAAGGAAAATCCAAGACTTTTTTCTTGAGCAAGGCTTTTAGCAAAGAAAAATTTTTTTGCTCTCTACATTATATCAAAATTTAGGTATTTTAAAGCTTCCCTCATTTATACGCCTGTACAATTTTTGATAACATAATACTAGTCAAATTTACTGCCTATTTAAAATTATTTACTAGGAATTGAACTATAGTAATAATTATTCTATTTAGATAAAACAATTTTGTATTTTAAATAATTAACTATAACAGAAAAGTCGAAAATTTTTAGTATGAATATTAATTTTAAAAATTACTTGTGGGTCTTAAACTAATAAAAATCAGTGCGTGTTACGAGTACACGCGGATTAAGTGAATCTTTATTCAAAGTCATTCATCTAATAGAATAATAGGTTTTAGTTGTTCAGCTTGAACGACTATTCAGTTACTTTGACTCGGTTCTTTTGTAACGTATGTACCATAAGCTTCGTCAGCAAGTTGCCCATTGAATCTGCAGTTTTGAATTTTAAAATTATTTTAATTTTCGAAAATACAATGCTAAATTATAATATAAAATATACTTAACAGCCAACCATGACGCTCGATAATCTGTTTTCTTTTTCAGACCCTCTATAAAGAAGTTTCACTTTTAAATATGATTTTACAAATATAATAAATGAAAATTTTATATTAGCATTATATTTAAAAATAGGGCCTGTGAAAGAGCCATGTAGTTCCCTAAAGCTACGTAAATTTAAAAGAAAGAGAAAATATTAAATATTTTTTAATATTAAAAAAAAAAAAATTTACAAGGTAATACTTTTAAAACTAGCCACTCAATTTCTCATACTTCTTCTCTTTTCTGGCCCTTATCCCAACTACTTAGGGTCAGCCACCCTTATCCTAAACTTCCACTTAACAAGGTTTCTCGCATCTACGTATTCATCAGCCGTTATTACATCGCATTAATTAACATCCCTCCATTTCTTCTTTGGTCTTCCTCTACCTCTTCTACCTAAAATTAAATTCCATAATTGTCCCTGTAGTTTCCAATTCCTTTCTTCTCATAACATGATCTGCACACCTAGTTTTTGAATAATTTCTTCCCTATTATCTTCTTTTTATACTATATCGTCAGCAGACAACACGCACTGCAGTACAATAATTTTGTAAAAGACTATTAAAAACAATATATTGGATTTTAAGAAAGAATATTTTAATGTTATAATCATATTCTAAATATATAATGTTTATATTAATTCGCAAAATATTTTTTTAACTATAGTTTATCATGTTTTTTTTAAGAATTTGTAAATTTAAAATTGTTGTTTTGATCTATAACTTCCTAATTACTTATCAATTAATGAGTTAACAAAACTATATTTCTAGTAAAATGTGTTGAAAAATAAACTATCTACAACTTTTATATTAAAAACTATTGAATATCACAAACATTTTGTCTGTAATCTAAATATTAATAAAATTTTTCGGATTATGTCGGTAAAACTAAACAAATGTATTGATTCCTATTTTTAAATATAGTTAAATAATAAATTTTTTACTTTTTTCGTTAGAATAATGCTATAAACAAAGACCATCTTAGTGTATACCCCTATTGATGATAAAATTTAAAAATAAATAGATGACTACTACTATAGACTTGAAAAATATAACGGATACTATACCCAATTATAAGGTACAAATTATATCTGAANGCGGATACTATACCCAATTATAAGGTACAAATTATATTTGAACTAAATAAAAATACTGAAAGAGGAGCAATCTATAAGTCTAACATAGATCACCATAGTTTATATGAATCATTATTAATACTAATCTAATAGATTTTGCAATCAGTAAAAGTTTAGTGACAATGGCGCACATTCAGTAAAATTAATAACCCAAACTAACTTTGTAAACCCAACCTAACCCCCTCTACCTTTTTTATGAAATCATATATGTATTTTTTTCTAAAGTCCTCAATTGGCGCCTGTGTTTAGTTGTTAAAAGTGCAATGTTTTCAAAAAGAATCTGGAAATCGCCTGATCGATATATTATCAACCATATATAGTTGATGTTCGCGTTCGTTATCTCGCGATTAAGCGATAGCAATAATAATGATGGTCGCCGACCAATGCAATAAACAGTTATATTCGATCTACGTACGCGCGCGGACAAATCGCCAGCTTTCAAGGGAATTATTAAAAAAATACAGTCAATATTTTTAATATTCGCATTTATCAATTATTTATTTATTTATTATTCATATTGAACCAGTTCGCAACAATATACGTACATTTGTCTCCTCGCTTTTGCCTGTGTATATTTTTATTTACTTATTTATATCCTTTTTATATATATATATCATTTTACATGAACATAAGGTTTATATGTATCTGTCATTTATTTACTTATTCTCTTTCCTTTTCTCTTTTTACTTTTACTGCAATGACTAAACGTTTAATATTTTGCAATAGAATATTAGAAGTGTCTTATTTAGAACACAAGACCTTGCATTTCATATCCATCAAAATAAATGCCAAGTTGTTCTACTCTCAGAAACTTGGTTACTACCAAATAAAAATTTTGACCTTCCAAATTTTAACTCGGTCCGCTCTGACCGACAAAAAATGGTTATGGCAGTGTCGCCATCTTGACCCATTCCCAGGCCGCATTTAGGAATTTTGCCGCCCGGTGCACTTAATTTTGCCGCCCCCCAAAAAGTGTTGGGTTGGGTTTTTTAGTTGA